AAAAAAAAAAAAAAGAATTCTAAGTTGTACTACATTTTACACACTTAGCATCAACTAAAAATAACCTGCAATGTCAGAAATTTCTTTTTTTGTGGCTAGGAAGAAAGTTTGGTGGCCTAAGTGGCTGTTTGGCAAGCACAAGGTCTCAAGTTCGATCCCTGGTACCACCAACCATGGCAGTCCCTGAAACCCAGGTGCACGGTGCCCTGGACAGGACGTGGTGGTGCATGCCTGTAATCACAGCACCAAGGGAGGCTGAGACAGGAGTATCACTAAGATTCTGAACTGCATAGTGAGACTCTATACCAAAATATTTGAAAAATAGGGCCAGCCAGATAGCTCAGCAGATTAAAGCATGCTTAGGCAGATGCATGGGTCAGAGGTTCAATTCCCTGGCCTGCTGTGCTGGCCCCACCCCTGGGGCATGCTAAGACTGCAGTTGAGACTGGGTGTGGTGGTGCGTACCTGTAATCCCAGCGCTTGGGAGGCTGAAAAACAAGAAGGATCACTCCAAGTCTGATCTGTGTAGTGAAACCCTATACTAAAAACATTTTTTAAAATTTTTTTAAATTTATTTTTATGTCTTTGAAGATTTCATAAAGCATTCCTTATGACCAGTGTTTATTAATGTTTCTTTTATGGATGATAATTCATCTTACATATAAATTATACCTAAGCATTCTACTTTATTAATATTTTACATTTACATTTATTCCTTACCATTTGTTCTCAACCTTGTTTATTTTAGAGAGACATTTGATATGAGATCTACCTTCTTAACATTTCTTGTTTTTGTTTTTTTGGTGCTAGAGATTGAACTCAGGAACTTGCACATGGTACTCTACCACTGAATTCTACCCTCAGCCCCTTTACAAATTTTTAGGTGTACAGTACTGTAGTTTTAACTATATACACAATATACAGCAAATCTCTAGAACTTACTCTACTCACACAGCTAACTCCTTATGACCATTGATAGCAGCTGTCCATTTCTTATGACCATTGATTAGCAACTCTCAATACTGAATGTGGTTATTAAATAACTTTTTGGTGGAGTTTTGGGGGTCTTCTATGTATTTGTCATCTGTGAATAATGATAACTTTTTTCTTTCTTTTCCTTATTCATTTTATTTCGCTGTATTGTCTAATTGCTCTGGCTAGTGTTTACAGAACTACATTGAATAGGAGTAATGACAGTGGCCATCCTTGTCCTGTCCCTGATTTTAGAGTGAAAGCTTTCAGGTTGTGTCCACTAAGTATGATGTTGGCTATTGATTTGTCATGAATGGCTTTTATCAGGTTGTGATAAAGACCATCTATGTTGATTTTCTCTATGGTTTTATCATCAATGAGTGTTGGACTTTGTCAGAAGTTCTTCTGCATTTATTGAGATGACCACGTGATTTTTTCTTTTAATCTGTTGATATGATATATTTTACTGATTTGTGTATGTTGAACCATCTCTGCATTCCTAGGATGAATCCCAGTTGGTCATGATGTATAATCTTCTTGATGAGTTGCTACATTTTGGGTTTTTTTT